TTGCCCGTGAAGTCTCCCTCCTTTAAAAAGGTTGTGCATTAGGTTCATTTTGAGAAAATGTGGGTCATGCACAGATTTCCTGAACTAGCAGGGGACCACCAACAAATCTTTTGTAAATGTTAATTGAGGAAATACTGAAGGAAGGAGGCTAAGCATGTTGCCAAACATCCGTTTCGAGAAAGAACCACACATTTTTACTCCGGAACCATCAAGATAGTTCTCCCAGTTTAGAAACCTGTCTAGAACCACTGACTGGTTTAGAAGAAGACTTCTTAAAAAGAGGTTCTTTTCCCGTGTCAATCAACACACAAAAAGGTGATTAAACCTGGTAGCAAATTGAGCAGAAAGATGGACGTATGACACAAACTGGTAGAACAGTACAGAGGAAAGGAGGGGGCGAGATAGAAAAAAATGTGTTTAAAGAAGTCTTCATAAATAGCTCTTCATTCTCCTTTCAGCCTCTTTACCTAACCCACTAATGCACTTTGGAGAGTATTGTATTTCTTTGAAGCAAATGGAGAGCGCATAAAAGAAGGGAAATATTACTATTTATAATAACTCTATTATTTTCTTTGCTGAAGAGTTTGCAAAACGTTGAAAGGAACATCTGCGACGTACAGGAGCTGCCATTGTGAAGACTCTAATCTCTCATCTTGTTTAAATGGTGCATTTATATGTTCACTTTTAGAAGAAAAAGCAGGCTATAGATACTATTCTAACTGAAAAACGTACTTATCATGCAATCTCAATGTATTATTTCCCATCTTATTTCTTGGAAGATAAAATAGAAAAAGAAAGGGCAAAAAGGTAACAAAACAATTATACATGCAAAGGCTTAGTGTATATTGTACAACGCTTTGCCCAAATTTACACATAAACAACACCCTATTTCAATCATCCATAAATAATCTTTATTGCATGCAAGGCCAGGTTGATCAGCTTGCCTTCTAACTTGCCTCAGGATGCGATATTGTTCAGCCTGAATTGAACTTTTATCAACTTGGAACTGAAAAATGAAAGAGAAAGATTTTTTTTTGTTGGGAGAGGGTTTGTTTTTTTGTTTTTTTAATACTAATGGTTAGTGGGACATCTAGCGGCCAATACTGGAAACATTTCTGGTTTTAGTTTTTTTAAGATTTCATCTTTTACTAGATCATTTGTCAACTCCTGCGTAAATGTAAATAAAAGTAGGGGCCATAAAATACATTATTTGTTTTTATTAGTACAATGTATGAACCCAGCCAGTTCAGCTCATGGTTACGTATACAATTAGCCACTATAGTTTAATAAATTATAGTTTAAACAAATCCTGGCTTAGCATAACAAGCCCAGTTAATCAGTTAAACCTCCTATAGAGGGCTGAATTGGACTAGATTCATTAGAGATCTCCTAATTAGCGCCCAAAGGGCAGCTTGAAGATAAAAGAGGCATCTTTATTTTATGTACAGAAACTTTTCAACAATCATTGCTTTTGGTATGTCCTGTTCCTCCATCTACCACTATTTTACTAAAATTGCAAGTACCTGAGGACGTGCTCTATGAAGAAGTAATGTGGGGTATTCAGTCTGAAAAAAAAGATGATTTAAGGGAGACAGGATCATGTTCTGATCCATAAAAGGAAGCTACAGGGACCTTGCCACTCTTGTTGAAACATGATTAAACTATAAAGTGGTCGGTTTGGTTTTGATCTAGAACAGTGTTTCTCAACCTTGAGAACTTTAAGCTGTGTGGACGTCAACGCCCAGAATCCCCTACCCAGCATCAATTACAGCTTAAGTTAGAGGGTGAAAGTCCCTTGGTCAAATGTTGGAGAATACCTTTCAGTGTTCTTACATTCACCTTGAAATAAACTTCACACACGCAACGCAGGTTATGCCTGGGCACCATGTCTGAACCCCACTCATCGTGGCTTGTTCAGAAAAGTGTGGCTTGCCAAACTATGCCATCCACAGAATCCGCAGGCAATTCTACGTTTCAAAGTAAGCTATGCACGTTTTGTATCTTTAGCGCTAGCAAAGTTTAAGGTTCAATGCTACCCCGTAGAAACCGAAAGCCTGGCAGATGGTTTTGGTTTGGCTGCCCATGAAGGAACTCGAATCGTACTAAAAGTTGCTGCTAATCTATTGCTGTTGCTCAAATAAAAGCAACCACTTGTATTTGCCATGTGTACACCTGGCAGGCCAGCCATCTGCCGTGGAGAAAACAGCTTCCTAGAACAATAAGGATTAACCTGAAAACACACCTCCTTTGCTGCCATCAGCAGTTCCACTAAATAAGCGCCTACTGCAACAGCCACAGATAGAGAGGTTGGTCTTTTATCCCTCTGTTATTGCAGCTTCATTATTATTATGCTCTTTTCTATGGCTATGCAGTTAGCCCTCGATTCACAACCATAACGGAGCCTCAGATTTTCATTGCGAAGCGAGACAGTTGCTCATATAGGTGAGTTTTGCATATAGGTGTGCAAATATAGCTGCGACTCCAACAAATCCACCCCCATTCAAATCATAAGTCTCTAGCCGCATCTCAGACAAAAGAAAAATGATTTATTAGAAGTTGACAAGTTGGTGTTAGCTGGATTCTGCCAATACTAAAATACATCATTCATTTCCCCCTTGACCCTGGTCTTTCCCTCATCCCCTGGTTGTATATTCTTGTTGTGGTTCGCCGGCAGCAGGTGCGGATGGCTGAGGTCTCGGAGAGCGAGGACTCGGATGAGGGCCCTGTGTGTGATGCAGGGATGGGGCCAGGACTATTGGAGAGTGGGGTGCTGCCTTCGGAGCTTGTGGAGGCTGGCAGCAGTGATGAAGAGGACCCCGAGGAGCCTGTGCCCAGTGCGTGTGCGTGCACGGCTGCTCAAAGGAAAGAGCAGCTGCAGCAGCACAGGCAACTCGGGAGTAAGGCTGGAAGGTGATGGCCCCTCCCTTAAGGGATAAAAGCCAGCCCTCAGAGGTGGGATTCTTTGCAGGAAGCAAAGAAGTTCTTGCACTTCAAGTCTTGTGGAAGTTCGGACTATCCCGGTTTGTGTTTGGAGACTTTTGGTTTTGATTATTTCCTTGCAATTTAATCTAGTGTTCTTGGCAGCCTTGCACAACCTTGACAAGTCTTGTTCTTATCTGGGACAATTAGTTTTAGTAACGTTTCACTGTGAATGAACGGAATCCACAGAGAAGCATTTAAAAGGTTTTGCTTTTATCTCTGTTTGGTGTTTGTTTGCTTGGAACTAGCCTTGGGTCAGAATTCTCCAATGGGACATATCCATAGGCAAGAGTCATCAATCATGCTCTCCAGTAATATTCTTGCACTCCAACAACTTTGGGTTGCCAGGGTGATTATCTAGGCACTTAAGGAATGCACTGTTTTCCCGCACTCCGTTTTTCTGGCAGCTAAAAAGATCAAAGGAGTATCTTTTTAGTTGACCATGGCTTTTCTGGCCACCGTTGTTTCACTGGCCACCGTTGTTTCGCTGCAGTTGTTAAGCTAGTCACATGGTTGTTAAGTGAATCTGGCTTCCCCATCGGCTTTGCTTGTCAGAAGACCACATAACCCTGGGACAGGGCAACCATCATAAATACAAGTCGGTTGCCAATGCTGATCAGGTGACCCTGGGGATGCTGCAAGTTGTAAGTGTGAAAAACAGCCATCAGTCATTTTTTTCAGTGCTGCCAGAACTTCGAATGGACACTAAAGAAATGGTTGTAAATTGAGACTTACCTGAATGCACTCACAGTATTCAGATATTCACCCTTGTGTTATTAAACAAACCATAATTACATGTATTCCCACAGCATACCAACCCAACCACACTGCGCCTTAGCTATTAAAATGACTCCCTCCCATGTCTCAAAAATTATCAGCTGCGATAACAGACTAGATAAATGGCAGGTTTTGAATGTAGCATATCCCCCTTCCTTTAAAACTATGCATGGGAGAGAAATTAACTGAACTCAGTTACTGCATTTCGGTAATTACACAGAAATGGCACCGGATTGCTTAATTTTTTGCTTATCTCTGAAATGTGGTATGTGCTGACATAAGCTTGGCTAAGCAGATTATATGCACCATACAGTACTTATCTCTATTCAGTTAAAAGTCCACAGCAAGCTCAGATGAAAGTCAAAAATCCAAATGCCAAGGATTTTCATGCCACAAAAGAATAGTAGAAGGAGATGTGGACAGTTTAATATCCAATGTAATAAATCCACAGGAATGTTAACAGATTGGTTTCATTTAAACAAATGTATATTATATAATTACAGCTTTTTATAAAAACTCTAAATTACAATACAGATCTAACAAAACCCCAGTTTCTAATAAATTGGCACTGTAAATCAAAGCTTAATGGAAATATGCCACTATAAATATTTTGAGTGTGCAGAAAGATCTAACTATCAGAAAGGTCTTATGGACAGGTATATTTTAAAAGGAAAGTGTGATATGGCTTTGTTACATCATAATGTAGCAACCCAGGTTTCTGCCATTGGTCTCTGGGTTAGACATAACGTTGGCTACTGCAGGATTTTTATTTTGTTTTTGCACATATATTTGTATGTCCGATCTGTGTGTACTGTAGATACGTAATTTTCACACACACAAAGTTTGCCTTGGGGTGGGTAGACATATTGAAAGTTCCAATTTCATGCAATGTCAGAAAGCCAAAAAGAGAACTTTAAGATAGTTTAATCAAGGTACAACACCAACTTCGTGTAGGAAATTCATCAGCCAGACAATCTTAAATTTATTATACTCTTTGCCTGAAATATATGATTTATTCTCCATAGAGAATATTCTCCATATTCTAAAAAATTATCAAATTTTATGAAACTGTCCTCCAAAAAGGAACTTTCTTCATCAGAATATAAACATTGCTCCTAAAAACCACTAGGTCACTTAACAATTGATTTTACATTATGCCACATTTCAATTAATCCATCCAAATTTGCTGCCAGATTCTTATTTCAATCATGCTCAAAACGAGACCCCCCTTTTTAAAAAAAAAATTCATTTCCAGCAAACTATAAAAATGCATATTTTTATGGCTGGTTGCCTCAGATTTCAAAGCCAAACTCCAAAGCATCCCATCTCAGCCATGGACTTTGCTATGTAACCATCAAAATATTAATGTTAGTTTCTAGTCCCTTAAAAGAAGTAAAGAGATACAAAGGCAAAGAAACTGCGACTTAGATCTAGTTTTTAATATCTTTTGTGATGACATTTACCCACATCAAAGGCAGGTGCCTTCCAGATGTTTTCAATTTCATCAGTCCCAACGCCATTGACAAGAAATTTATGAATGAAGGGAAATGTACAGGTTCCAGGTTAATATTACAGGATCCAATATGGGTCTGTCACTGGGAGCCAGAAATTTTGTCTCCCAAACTTTTGGACTTATGCTGGACCCCATCCTCAAGGAACTTCTCTCTCACCAAAATAAAGGTGGACTTTCAGCAAGAGTCCGAAAGACTAAAGGACTGGTCCAAGTGACTGAACCAGATTGGATCCTACAGAAATTTATGAGGTGTTCAAACATTGGGGAAATAAGTTGTCTATCTCTGTCCTCCATTTAATCTAGGTTTTATATGCCTAGGATCTGACCACAAGATCTCACCTATTGTTAATTTCTCCTTATCCTAGTTTTCTTTTCTTCATGCTCAAGATTCAGAACATCTCATCCACCGGTTTTGCACCTCTGTTGCAACAGATACATTACAAAGGCTAGTTTCACACCAACAACAAAACTCCCCTGTCGATTGCATCTTTCATCACCACAAATATTTCACTTGGACATTGTGGAAAAAGCATATATTGATCAGAAAGCTACATCAAGATGAAAACCAAAACCAGATTCTCATCGTTTTAAGTTCTGGGAATTGCAAAGGTTTGATTTCTTTTTCTCATCAATATATCTACCCTTCTGTCCACCGATTTGATTTTCGGAGTTTTCTAAAAGCCCTTTCTCTTTCAGCAAAGCAAATCAATCACAAAGAAGTTACTACAGCACATTTATTTAGTAGAATTAAGATTCAGGTTAATCAAACAGCCTTCTGAAGCAGGCAACACTTTACTTGAGATACTCAGGACAACTAATAGGAAGGCTTTCAAAATCAGTCACCTAGACTCAAAGAAATTAAATATACACTTCTACAATACAGGACCTATATCAAAGCTTATGAAAGTCGATCCATTTTTTTCCCCAAACACAGGTGGGTCCTGCCCCAAAATTTTCAGTTAAACAAGTGGTGGTCCATCCTGGATAAGATCCTTCTACCACGGAAAGTACTATTTAAAGTTAAATGTCCAAAAATTGGTTACACATAAAAGCCAATACCAATTCAAGTTTGTATTAAGAGACAACTTATTAAAAAAAAGTTCCGTTATCCCTGCAGTATATATATATATATTAAGATAAGGAATTAAAAACATGGAAAAGGGGAAGGGGGGAAATACTTAAGGTAACCAATTCAGGGATCATTAACTTTACAAATTGTGAACATGATCATGTTTTTGTTTAAATTCTGTTGAAAACTCAAGTTCATAAATTTCCTGATGCTCCTTCTGGAGTGTCAGTCAGGACAGTTAAGAAAACAGCAATGTGAAAGCTGTGCTCAAGCGAGGAGGAACCTGCCTAACCATCAAGGGGTGTGTAAACAACTTCTTGGAAATACATTGGTGAGAAAAAAACCCGAGCAGAAATGAACGGTGATAGAAGAATCAGAAGTTTGTCTTCGTGAAAAGAGCCGTGCCGAAGCTGACCCCCACAGTTCCAATCGCGGATATTTGCACTCAATGCAGATGTTACAGGTCGGAGCTCAAAGCACTCTGCCCTGTGTATCTTATGCTTATTGCTTGTGGCCCTTTGGCTGCAAGGTTAAAAAGGATAAGGCAGCGAGTTTTCCCGAAGGTTGGAAAAATTAGGCACTCTGACAATTTGCACAGAGCTTGTTCTCCTGTCGCCTGTAGCTTTGGAGCTGGATGGAGCATTGATAGACGCCAAAGGTAGTCAGCAGCAATTGTCTGGCCTTGGATTGGATCTCCTCCCACTTGGGTGAACTACCAGGAACTGAAAGACAAGAAAGCCACAAAACAAAGCAAAAATAACAACAACTGTTGATGTCTTGCGACGCGTCTATGGAAGGTAATTCTCCTGGTGAACAACCAAAACTATCATGTTTATTTAAAAAGATGGGAGATTTTGACTCTGATCACCCATACAAGGATGGTTTCAATGTCACATTATATCCTTCCCAAAGGATGACCAACAAGTATTGTGAGTTATCGTCTAGATGCAGTCCTGATCCTATTTGGTGATCTAATTAGTAGATCATTTAGTTAAATATATGTATACATGCCTCATGTGCCTTAATAGCTCTGCCATTATCTTGACAAATGCTTGAGACTGAGGGAAGCAGCTGAAATGGGAATTGATTGTTGTTATAAGCAAACCTGAGGAGTCCCTGGTGGGCTGATCTGTTGGGAAAACACAAGCAAGCTTCCAATGGTTTATTGATTTGTCCGCTAGGATTGTCTTGGCAGTTGATTTTTAGGGTTTCTACCTTGAATATCCTCTATTTAATGAACCGGTTGAAGAGCTTTTCAAGTTCAGAATTGCTCTCCAATTGCTCTGTCCTGTTCTTAAGAACGATGGGGAAAAAATGGAAATATTCTTGAAACATTTCTCCCGTAGATGCATTCTCTATGGGGCTTGTTGCGATATAGTAGCAACGGGCAGCTTGAAGAACTTTCACAAAGCCAAAAGATTGAAGGATCGTTCATAAGGAAGCTCTTTTTAGCTCTGCATTCTTACTAGAAGAGGACTTAGTTTCTACCTGTCAGATCCATCAAGTGACGGAGAACTGCAAAGCCCAATCACTGTCAAGCCATCAATCACTGCCAATCAATGATCAGCTGACAGACCAACCTCCTACAGAAGCAAACATCATCTTGTCCAATCACTCAGGTGTCCTTCTGACCCATGAGATGCTAAATCTTCATCTTAGAACCCCAGTGAGGAAAATAAAATACAATTCAATCTAAATGCTTCTTTAAAAAATCATTTTTGACCTGGGATGATCAAATTAATTTGTTTCTTCCCACCCCTTGCCTGTTTTGTGATTTTTGATTGCCAGCTTTTGATTAGAGCCTTTCTCTCTCGTTTTACTTTACAGATAGTATTTTAGAAGCAACGGATCAACATATTTTACCTAATTGTAGGTGGACAATGGCAATTGTTTTTCCTGACGTTAGAGACCAGACATACAGGCTTTCCACTGAAAATACATCTTCGATTTTCATCAACTCTTCTCTAATAAGGTCCACATTTAAATGTCTTGGAACTCCTACAAACGAAACAAAGAACCAGGCACAGATTTTTATATTTAGATTGAAAAATAGATGCCATAAATGAACAATCTGTGAAACAAAAATAAAACAGTTGGTTTGGAGTATTTGCGAGTAATTCTTGTGACTTTTTTCAACCTTGCTTAGTAATGGAAATTACACTCTCAATTATGGTCACATCAAGGACTGCCTGTGTATTATATGAAACAAATCAAGCTACCTTGATTAGTCCAACATTAAAAAAAAAAAAACCTGCACCAGAGGGCAGGACAAGAAACAATGGATGGAAACCAATCAAGGAGAGAAGCAACCTGGAATTAAGGAGAAATTTCCTCACAGTGAGGACATTTAACCAGTGGAACGGCTTGCCACAAGAAGTTGTGGGTGCTTCATCACTGTAGGGTTTTAAGAAAAGACTGGACAGCCACCTATCTGAAATGGTACATAGGATCTTCTTCTCGGGCAGCGGGCTGGGCTAGAAGACCTCCAAGGTTCCTTCCATCTCTATTCTGATTCTAAACTAAAATATTTGTATTAAATGTCACCATGCAATTGCATAATCAGGTCATTCGATATCATAAGATGTGCAATGTTATTTTGACATCATCAAGGCTTGTTCTGATGCCAAATAAGAGTTAGGTTGAGTAGAGTTAACCGCATCAAGTTCACGATGAAAATTAGTTAAGTGTACGTGTATCGTTTTAAAAAGCCCTCTGAATACTATCTCTTCCCAGTCGCCGGCACATTTTCAACAGCTCTTACCTTCAAGTACAATTATTCCGGTGTCCCGTATGATCCGAAAGGTCGTAAAAGCCACAAGAACTGAAAATACGTAGGTACATATAGGATCAGCAATCTTGTATTCTGGCTGAAATAAAAAAGGTTAAAGCCTTGTAACAAAAGTCCCTGGCTGTAAATATTTTTGAAGGCTTAAAAATGGGGGTGTGGGAAGAACCCCATCAGTCCATATTTTAAGGATGGATGTAAGAATCGGTGCCAAATCAATACGATTGCCACAGTTATGTTTCCTACCCCGTCCATCAGTGGTGGTATTCAAAAAATTTTACTACCAGTTCTGTGGGTGTGGCTTGGTGGGCGTGGTGTGGCTTGGTGGGTGTGTCAGGGGAAGGATTCTGTAAAATCTCCATTCCCTCCCCACCCCGCTAACCTGCTTTCCAGCTCCGTTCTCCTGTGCAGGGCAACCAAAGAAGACCCAGCCAATCAGCTGGAACTCGGGAGAATAGATGGGGGTGGGGCCAGTCAGAGGTGGGATTTGCCGGTTCTCTAAGCTACTCAAAATTTCCACTCCCAATTCTCCAGAACCGATCAGAACCTGCTGGATACCACCCTCTGCTGTCCATTCAATTTTTCACGAAATCGGGTGTCTTTTTTCTTTTAAACAACTGAAACTCCCAGTTATTTTGGGGTAAATTTGGGGAATATACGATATGCGTTTGCAATGTGCAGTTTTCCACACCGCTTATGTCAATAAGCTATACTTGCAAGAACCAGTTTTGTGGAAGAGGGCTAATTTGGGTGTGCTTTTTCCCACACACAAGTAAAATTTTCCCTGTTAAGAAGATGCCAGCCAACTCCATTTGTTTACAATTTGTACAATAGGACCCAAATTTTCTCGTGAATACTATTCTTTAAGCGCAACTTCATTGCAACTATAATTTGGACCATGACTGATAAGAAAAGGAGTGTGCAGCTGTAGAACAAAGGCTGTTTTGTATGCAGGATATTAAATGCCTTTGAGGGTAGGAAAAATCAGCTACAGAGGATCACTGAACTTTTCAGATTAAAAAAACCTACTGATTTATTTAACTACCTTAATTAATCATCCACGACTACAGTGCTTGGACTGATAGGCAGTTTGAAATACAGTTAACCTTTGTACTGTACTGAATGTTTTTGCAAATGGGCCAAGTAGCACAGCAGTCTTGCTATACAGAAACACCCAGGTTTCAATCCCAACATCTGTACACTGAGTACTATCTACAAGGAGACCTTTCGAAGAGTTTTCCTTAGTCCTTGAAAGCTCAGTATAGGCGGTATAAAAGGCTCCAATGGCACAACTCCACGCACTGTATTTATTTATTTTTAAAATATATTGGCCACCCAAGTTACCACAGGGTAACTCTGTATGGCTTTTTTTTTTCACATGTTCCCCACTCCAACCCCACTACCACAACAGGTGATTCAGAAAATAATCTGTTAATTCCAATAACCACACGCAACCTTTCTGTAAAGTGTAAGTAGGGTTTGCAAAGTGTTAAAAAGTACCAACAGATTTTTTTTAAAGTGTCATTTCTTTTAAAATAGGTCAAAACCTTTGGGGAGGAAATAACATAACAATGCAAACACATGCCAAAAAGAAAAGAATGTCACATGCATTGCAATTGTTTGAGGATATCTATCTATCTATCTATCTATCTATCTATCTATCTATCTATCTATCTATCTATCATCTATCTATCTATCTATCTATCTATCTATCTATCCATCCATCCATCTTTATCTATTTATCTATATCTGTCTATTTATCTATCTCTATTTATCTCTATATATCTATTTATTTATCTATATATCTATTTATATATCTATCTATATCTATTTATCTATCTATCTATCTATCTATCTATC